ACATGGTATGAAATATACATGGAGCTTTTAATTTCATTTGAACGGCTTTCATTCAATCTTCTTCACTACGTAACAGCTAAATCTGTTTGCAGAGGAAACTTACACCATTACAATCGAAATTTTCTTAAATGTGCTGATTTTATATGTTTCATTTACACCTGTTAGACGTTAAGTGACTATTTCGTGGGAATGTTTAAATAATCAATGATAATGTCGAGAGAAATAAGATCTTATTTTCAACAAATAACTTTTTAAAAAAAGTCGTTTTCATCCACATGGGAAATCCTTTAATTCAAAACAAGGACACTACATTAGTTGAAATATCTCGTTGTATGATACAAAATATTTGATTGAAACTTTTTAGTATAATTTACATGTACCTTTTTGAGTTTTGTACGAACAACAATTAAGTACGAAGAATAAAAGTTGTTATAGCGGCAAAATTATTCAAAGAAGTGCTACAATTCATAAGCACATACATAACGTTTATAATGTGTTATTGATAACTATTTGTAAAGCTTTATGGTTTGAACAAAAAAATACTACTAAGAATTCAAAGGGTAATATCTCAAAACATTTGCAAAATAGATTCATGGTTCTTAAAATCTGCATTTTTATTTTGCTTAATGAGATCTTTCCATCTGAGAAACTGGAAGTTAAAACTTTTTTATATGCCCCAAACTAAAATTAGGTATAAAACTTTCCAAACAGAAATTGGTTAAAAGTATGCAAAACAGATTTATGGTACATGGGATCTGCACTGTTGCACCGTATACAGCTTACGATGTAAACAGTCTACACACTAGCTGTAAATAAAGCAGATAATAAAATAAAAGTGAAAAAGGTCACTATTGAAGGTTGCTCGTCACAAAAATATTATGTTTAGATGTTCAGTGTAAGCAAGTCTTCATTTATATAGACAGTGTTGAATAAAATAATTTCGTCACTTGCTTGAAATGAATTGAAAATTAAAAAAGAAATTAGTAATTAAAATTATTAGGTATAAGCCGCCTGCTTACGGACGGCAATTAATTTTTAGTGCAAGTTAACTTCAAATTTGTAAAAATATCTTTATTTATGAGCCTTTTCGTGGACAGCAATGGTAAGTGCAAGCTACATTATAATCGCATCAATATTTTTTTATCGATTCTGCCTTTGTTTGTTATTAAAAGTGCAAGCTTTTTTCATATGCGTAAAAATATCTTTTTTTATATATAAAAGTAAGAATTTTGGACAGATTCAATCGTTTATGTTATTTTTATTAATATTTAAATAGCTTCATTGACATACAAGCAAACTTGAATAACATTTGAATTAATATAAAGCTAGTTTTTCTATGAAGTTGTCTTTCAAAGCTTTACGTGAATCATTGATAAAATCAACCATCCTAACTATTTATATGGACTATTTTACAATATGTTTTTAAACATTTCAACGTTAGGTTGCTGTGACTGTATAAAACGAAACACATGTTTTGAAGTGTTTTTAAAATATTTAGGAATTGGATAAATAATTCTGATTCAAATCATATCAATAAAAGCTATGATACAATTTTATGTTATTATGAAATTAAGATTTCATGATTCAAAAATAAACATTCCCAGTAAATAATGAATTGTTTCAGTTTTATCAATCTTATTGTAATTATTACACACATGATGGCATGAATAGTCTGTAATTGTATCAAACATGTCACTGTTTACAAAAGACATTACTAATTGTAAAGAATTTGTTCATCAAAATGACAGTCTTAAGTCATTGTATCACATACTTAAAGCAATTACATTTTACTTAACGATTAAGTATGGAATAAAATTATACCTCAAACTAAATAAATGCATTATTTCAGCTTTTGGCGAAGTTTTATTTTTTCTTTATTTAATTATTTAAATTAGAATATAATTATACTATTTCCCGAATGTTCTAATTTGGTCCTTGTTATTTTCGTACAATGTGTATTTTAAATTTAGGAGAACATTACAGGAAATAGAAATGAAGAATTCGTCAATTAAATGTACAGATTTAAATGCTAATGACATGTTTTAAAGAGCATTGAGGTAATGAATATGTGGTTATTTAGGATTTTACGTAAAGTGATGCAAGAATTATATTTAAACGTAAAAGGAAACAAAAATTTTGAAAATAATAAATTAAGAAAATGAATTTACGCAATCATAAATTATTTGTTCTAATGAAATTTTGAAAAACAAAGGAATAGGACTCAAGCCTACCATCCTGGTTCAAATACCGACACATTAACATTAGTAACACAGCTCCCCGTTATAATGACCATAAAGATAGAATGTAGATTATTATCAAACAATGAACACTATTTACAATCTTGTAATATAAATATATCATACCTTAATGAAAGTTTCATTATGCCAATTCATTGTGCCTATGTTAACAATTAAATGATGTAGTAATACAATTAAGAGTTGTTTTTTTTCTGTTCACAATAATTAAAAAATGTCAAAACGCGACCATTATGATAATTTACAGTCTGTTTTTAATTGTTACTTTTACATTATAAAACATACTTCTTTTACAGAATAGCCCATTTTATTACAATGTAACAGCTAGAAATTAAGCGGCAATATTTCCATCATAACAAGTACATCAAATATTTATATATTTTATCTCTTCATTAAAATCACCTTGTTGGTCGTTTATTCAATTTCGGCAAATTAAAGCAAATTTCAAATGTGTCACTTCAGAGAGTTGTATTGCATACAATCTACTGTATAATATCGGTACTTTAAATTGGCCATCTTTATTAAATAATTTTGTTATGCGTATACATTGAGTAAATTAATCCCTCGTTTATCAAAGAAATATGTCAAAGTATACTTTTTGTTACTTTTTGACAAATAATTCAGTCGTACTTTCTCAAGGTAAAATGAATCTAACACGCTCTAAAACAATCATTTAATTATTAAAAACAATTAATTACAATTAAAACAATTAAAAACATTAAAACAAATGTTAACCCTTTCTTAAGAAGAAAATTATGTTTGTTTCTTAAGCATTGTGTACCTTTAACAACTGCGGAATGATTAATTTACAATATCTGAAGAAAAAAAAGCGAAAGGGCAATGGCTAATTTACTATTCAACCATTGTTATCAATAGGAGGTCATATTTCAAACAACACTTAAGCAACATAAAGCAAGGAAATATGATACGTAATTGACCAATAAAAGCGATTATATTGTCTTTGTGATGATATTTTTACTTAAAATGTATAAGAAACTCGTCGTCAATAAATATTTCAGATATTATATACTCAAGAAAAACTATATCAATTGGATTTTTCTGACAATTCACTTACTTTTATTTGGTTTATTTACTATATATTTACTCAAGGTTTGAAGTCAAGCGATGTGTCTAAAAGTCGAGCATGTATTGCACCTGAGAGCTAGACAATCAGTTAATTTGGTAATAATCCGGTTTTTTTCAGTGTGTTTTGATTTGGTTTCAAGTGACCAAACGATTTAAGGTCATATTGGGACTTTTCAGATTTGAACAAGCGGGCATCTTACTAAAACTAGTGACATTCCGTAAACCCACAGTAGTAACGTACAAGTGTTTCGAAGGCAATTGTTTTAACCACTCGGCCACATAAATCAATTGTTTATAATCGAGACCTTGTGAGATGACAGAATTTAATTACGGAACAAATAAAAAAATAAGTTTTGCAAGATCACTATTTGTCCGTACAAATAGTTTCACCAAAAAGTTCTTAATAATTTTCTTCGTCAGCTCGAACTCAATTTGTTAAGTGTTTCAGATCTTGTTATCTTATGTAACTTTGTATGATTATAACTTAAGGCGAACGTCTTCTTCATAGGACAATATTTGCTTATTTCGACGAGTAAGAATGAAATTCTTGTTACGGACAGACCCCCCCCCCCCAAAAAAAAAAATGCAAATGAAACAAACAAACAAAAAGAAAAGTAAATAACAACAACAACAACAACAACAAAAACACAAAGACTATGGGATGATAGATTGAAGTGGGTGGACATTTTGTATTTTAAAAGAAAATGATAGGTAGAGCTTTTCAAGTTTAAATGTGTGATATAGTAAACTGCTTGAACAGCTTTGAATGAAATATGAAGTAAAAGTCTCTTTTCTTAACAAGCTCTTAATGATTTATGGAATACAATAATAATTTACTGTAGCGATTTCTGTGAAGTAAGCCATTCCATATTTGAATGGGATTTTTAAGGTCTGCGTTCCAATATTTCATATTTGTAATAAACTAAAATAATCTTAAAGGCCCATTATTTCTCAGATATTCTATCATTTTTGTTTCTAAAAAAACTTTTTATTTTTGGTATCTTGCTACAGTTTCCAAAGAAATATTTACTCATTTGCAATATAATTGAATCATCTTTGCTCCTTTTGCTTTGTTGGCAATTGGTATAATTACAGTGAGTTAGTATTACAGAAGTAAAAATTGTTTACAATATTAAGCTTCAGTCACACTACACCGCAAAGCGTTAACGGACGCCAAATGCAAAGAAAAAATGCGACTGAAAGTTATCCAGTGATGAAAAGCATTTCCCGCTGCTGCTCGGTGCTCTCATGATCGCTGTACGGGGCGCATAAAACGTACAAAACGATCAATGACCGAACGATCAACGCACATATACCGGATGAAGGACGTACAGTTAACGGACTTCACCGTACTAGTAACGGATTTGTACCACACAAAATGTACACGAAGCGCATGAAGAACTGACAAAACGTTCTTTGAACGTTCGACGAGCGTATTTCTACCGGTCACGTGACGGACAAAACTGGTATAAATAGTCCGAATTTTTTTTTCGTCATAATAGTTTCCACGCTCTCAAAGATCACACATGTGCTCCAAAATGCCAAAAGCCAAGGCTACCAATACTTGGAAGGTTTAGGCCAGGAGACAGAGGAATATTCCAAGGTCACCCTCTCCTCCCCCTGATAATGATGCTGTTCAAGAACAAGAAAACATTGAAGTTACTGAGGAAGAAACTCCGTCTGTAAAAATTCCAAAAGACTCAGATCTACCAAGTGATTCATGCCGAAAGCATTTTCAGCCACTCTTCGAGCCCTTGACAGCCTGTAGTTAAAAATCCTTCCATCGTCGGACAAGGCTCTGTGACTGTATGGCTTCTGCATATAGGTCTCCAAAGGCATCGTCGCCTGAAAATAGACAAGTAATATATTACATGCATTTACGAGTACAATAAACATTTAAAGAAATCAGTCTATTACAGTATGTTCAATTATTTTATTTCCTCGCATTTTTTTCTTACCAATATAGAAAAATGGCACATCCTGCGTGTCGTGTGGCAGGGGTTCGGGGTTCGGCAGGTCAAGTTCCCCGTTGCAGCTTTAAGGTCGGAATCGTTCCGCAACTGAGCATCAGATGCAGCACCGCGGCCTCCGATGTCGGCCCAAATGAACTTGTAGTCGTAGTCAACGAGGGCCAGCAGGACAATGGAGTAGTACTTCTTACAGTTGAAATATGTGGACCCGGAACTAGGTGGACACTTACAGGCAATATGTTTGCCATCCAACGCACCCAAAGTGTGAGAAAAGTTCCATTTTGCCAAGAAGCCATCTGAAATGCGTTTCCAGTCAGCAGCTGTTGATGGCAAAGGCATGATCTCGTCCACATACTCGTCTATAATTGCTCTGCACACCTGAAAATGTAAATAAAAATGCAATTTTAAAAGTAGAAATAATCATGTAAGCAAATTATTGATATTTTAAAAGACCAGAAATTATATACATGTAATTGTTCGAGTTATCAGTCAGAATCATGGTAAAATAAAAATATTTACTTCTCGCACGATGACAGAGATGGTGTTGTGAGGTATCCTCCAGGCAAACAGCATGTTGGAATACTTTGACCCTGACGCAAGGTGTCTGAGTGTAACGGCTATCTTCATTCCAGCGTCAAGAGGGGTTCTGTATGTAGTATATTGTTTTGTTATTCTAGGACCCACTCGTTCCAGAATCTTATCAAACATCTCAGGAGGCATCCTCATGAAGTTCGTAAATGACCGCTGGTCTTCTCTACGCAGCTCCATCATGAGTTGATCGTAGAGACCAAACATTCGACGTCTCTCAGGACCCAGCCAAGCCTTTGACCACCACCTCCGCAGTCGCCTCCTTCTTCTGCTGTTTTCATAAGCGACAATATCTACATTTGCATCCAACAGGTCAATTCGTGCCTGGATCACGGCCGCTTGATACTGCAGGCGGGCTCTAACGCGACACTCCATGATATGTGGATCGGCTACTCAAACTATCAAAGTTTCAGAAGGTCCTTACACTTGAAATGCAGGAAAATATATGAATATATATCACCAGGGAAACCTCGTTTTATTCATCATCAGTTTTGTGCGGTGGACCATCGATTCATGTCTGTTATTTATCAGTTCTTATTCCCTGCGGTCTGGAGACCGCAGGGTATTGGTACGCGTTTAACTTTTGAGGTATGGAGGAGCACGTGACCTGTTTTCAGTACATGGAGAAGCATGTGATCTGTAAACCGTACATGATTGGTTAATTGACCTTTTCGAAAACCTGGCTAAATACCGTTTGCCGGTACGTTCCGGATTTACATCTAGGGAATTAATCAGAGTGACACCTAATTATGAACAAACAGCTTTTACGTGATATTTCTTATTTTCTATAAGTATTTTACCGTTTTAAGGTGTAAAAACTTGAATGATGTGTTTGAAAATTATCAATGTTTCTTTAATATGTATCTCAAATTTTACAAACAATAAATTGTTTATACTGAAAATCTACAAAATTAAAATATTCGTAGTGGCATCTGCCAGAATAAATAGAGATATTTTCTGCGTAAACTTGTGTGTTTACTTTTTCTTGCTCGGAATAATTCATAAAATGGTAGGCCTATTTAATCATTTTCTTAAAAAGAAATAATTGTTTTATGTTCGACCTTCTCCGGTCATCAACCATCACCAGTTTCCAAAGACCTTCTTCTATATTGATCGATTATTGTTAACTATATTCCTGATAAAACCGCGCGTTTATTTATTCCCCCCAAACCATGTTTAAAATGGTTAAATGGAATATCTTTATATCATTAAAAATGTTCCCCACAGGAAACCATTATACTTGTACGTCCCTTGTTCGTTATCGTCCGTTCAACATACGTTACATCCGCTGCATGTTCGTTAGTAGTCCGGTCGTGAATCAGGTCCACCGGACAAGAACGGACTCGAACCGGACAAGTACAGAATAAGGAACGTACGAGTAACGAACAAAACGCATACCAGCGCATGGTTAACGTACATTTGAAGGACAACTTTATCCGGTGGTGTACGTTCCAAATTTTGAACATGTTCAAAACTTTCCACCGAACGGAACGAGCACCGCCGGACACCATCGGACAAGAAGCGCAAACGCCGCATGATAAACGGAAAAGAAACGCATGCGAACGGACATTGACGGATTGAAAATTTTGTTATGCGTTGGACGTCCTTTAACGCTATACGGTGTAGTGTGACTGAAGCATTACTTCTGATGCATAATGTGCCTTTAGATATCAAATGGTGTGTGTGAAAGCATGATATATAATGTTTAATTGTTTACTGTTGTTTACATAGCCATGTACGTAGTTGTTTATCTTTCAAATAACAACATTTACATGCATTTCAAAGATTTTAAATAACACTTTGAAATGAGAAATTATTTAACGGACGTTTTATTTCAAGTTAATGAAATTAAATTGACAATGTCTTGTATTGAATATTGATTATTTTCTATGCACAGATCAAAATAAAAGTATGCCCATTCTATACAATAATAACTGTATTGTTTAAAAAATATTCCAAATTCATAAGTTTTGTTAGTACTACGTAATGCAATGACCATTAAATAATTAAATAACTAAACTTTATAAGAAAGAAATATTATGTTAGAATTTTGCATGGTTATTTGCTCTACGAATCTAATTAAAAAGACAGTTTTCATACGAAAAGTTTCATTCATAATAACAAAATTGTTAATGACTTTCGACTTCGTTGATTTGGTTCTGTCTTTAATTTCGATAATAACATTTTGAAATTTTTTAATCATGTGAGATTTGTTAAAAATGATTCCAGCGTTGGTAGCATCTCAGTGATTACTAAAAAAAGGTTTTTAATGAAAGCATTTAATGACAAAATAAATCTCAACATCTAATTAATTAAACTTCATTGCGGTTTCCGTTAATTTTCTATCGAAAGTATGAATTGTTTTGCAAGTAATGGGAGCCGAATTATCTTACACTAATTGATTTGCGCAATTAAGTAAAGAAAAATGAAAATACAAATAGAAAATTAAAATATTCACACTTTAATTTAATAATTTTGCTTTAAAGTGATGCTAATGTTCTTGTTTATGGACATTTTTTGAAACAAATAATTAAGATTACCTGAGATTGGTAGTGTGACACATTTGGTTTATACTAATTTGTTTTAGTTTGAATGTTTGGAAGCCTTAAGCTTATTGAAACACTCTCACTTTGTTTCAAGATCCAACCAGTGTTATGCAATGAGCCACTCTGTGCTACCAATATCAATGAAAACATCAGCATTACGCAATTACATTACATGATTATTTGACCTTCACGAAACAATATTTAATAGTTATATGTAAAACAAGATGTTCCGTGTGCATTAATACGAAGGTAATTGGTTTGTTGGTAATAAGGACATATTTTCCTCGACATCACAATTGATTATTACACAGCTTTCGGCAAATAAAAGTTATTCAAACGTCTTTCATGTGTAAATTGAACTTAAAGTACCTCAATACTGTTAATACAATTACAACTGCATAAGTGTCACATTTCCTGCTTAAATCGTATAAACTATGTTCATTCTAAACTTAAAGCATCATTTGTACTAATTCAATACACTAAACAATCAAGTCAATATATTTGGTATTTATTGGTAAAGATTCAAACCGACGCACACGATATCAGTGTTCCGGTAAATTCAATTTTATCGATGTAATTGCAAATGTTAAAATAAAAATAATTGCATTGAATTACAACAGCAACTACAACAAGAAACCAGCGACGACGGCAACAAAAACGTTTTATTGAAACAGATATTAAATAGAATTGTAAAAACAACAACAACAACAACAGTAACAAAGAAAGCACAAAAATATATTGATTTTTTCATTGACATACATGTATGCAGTACATGTACATGCCACACTAAGCAAGCCTCTCTTTTTTTACTCGTATAAGCAGTGTTTGTTAATGAAATGTTTGATATCTTGGGATTTTGTATTTAATTTGTTCAGAATTTGAAATAAGTGTGTACTTATTTGTATGGTATTTATGTAAACTGTCTTTACAATATTTAGTATGTACAAATGGTCAAACGCATTTCATGCATTGCCGATTTGCAAATTAATGAAAGGATAACTTGCCGAAATGATAATCAATATCTAATACATGTCAAAAGATGTGTCGTATATCTAAAACTGTCACTAGATACATGAAGTATATTTATTAACACTCATGCTGATATCGATTTTCTTTTATAATAATAATAATGATAATAACAATAATAATAATAATAATAGTAGTACTAATAAAATATTGCAAGATTTTATAGTTAACGCAAGAAATGATAAATCAAAATATTTATCGTTTAGATTTTCAATAGTTTAAAAGGTCTTAAAGTGTGTTAGGTACATATCTTATATTTAACAGATTTCTTTTGTACGTTTTCAGTTTTAAAAGGATGAGAAATTAAAGCAGCTCTATTTATTTGAACAGTTATTTGTAGACAAATTTCATAAACTAAATCAACAAACGCTGTTACATGTACACGTTGTATCTTTATAGCCTCACAAATGATATTTTAATTTTTAAAAAGCTTCTTAGTGATGTAATCAAAAAATGTTATTCATGGGCCAAATTTATAAGCTATTTTTTGTTACATTGACATACTGGTTTCAAGTGCAGTTATAATTAATTAGTATTTTGTACGGAAGTCGTAATACCGCTTTGTTTACATTTTGCTACCTTGATCAAAATTCATTTAACATTCAACATTATTTTACTCAGATGATGAGCATCTGACCTGTTCAAAGTCAATTATTACAACATTACTTAAAACAAATTTGCCTTTGCTGCATAATGACACATTTATTCATTACCGAGGTATAGTGTACCTTTAATAACCATAATAGTATCGTAATACATTTAAAAAACGTTTCTCGACATATATATATATGTTATATTAAAAGAGGTTATCATTATAAACGTAGCTCTAAAAACAAACAAACCAGCCTTATGACAAAATGATTCAATTTGATAAATAAATAAATACAAGTACAGATACAATTTAGAAAATACAGGCTCTGCAATGTCCACTGGGAACCATTTTTATATCGAGAACCTTCTACTTAATGACTTTTTAATGTAATATTCTTATCTTATCAATACATTCATCATCTATTTATTTCTTTATTATTTAAATGTTGTTAGAAGCTATGATCGAGTATTGAACAATCATTTCATTATATAATCATGACAATCCGCACAAAAAAGTTTGTAAATGTAATACCCAGAAGCAAGGAGACACCATACAAGGTATCATTGTCAAGATAAAAGTTGTTCAGTTGTTTATTTTTCACGTAAATTGACACAAACTAAACAATAGATTGTGAAGTAATTTACTATTAAGTTGACTACGGCATATTCAACATACACATTGTCAAGTTAACAAAAACATATGTAGTTACCACGTCATTGTTATGGTTATAACATAAGAATTTGCGCTTTATGATATCATACAGCTTCGGAACACTCAATGACTTCAGCATGGGCTTACACACGGGTAGTACCTGGTAAATGTAGTGTACAATCTGTTTACTTTGTTAAATGACATAACTGTTCTGTTCGTTTTCAAACCAGACGTTTTGCGCACATATAATTGTGTATAGTATTTCGTTTATGTTATTGTACACGTTAATAAAAGTTAATGGCTATAACGGAAAATGTTTTGTTTGTTATTTCATATTGTATATACAGCCAACGCATTATATTATTATATACTTATTTATCGACAGTAATCGTTTATATTATATACTGTACAATTTGAATTAAATAGTTCTCAATTCAATACAAACTTATTATGCAAGTCATATGTCTCTTGTGTCATATTTAAGTATATATATGCCAGTTAACCTCACTTGACTCTAAACACTTTTTATAAATCGTTATTCTTGTATTTTAATGGATTTA